TCAACTAGAATATATTCGGTTTTTAATTCTTTTAAATATAAGATTTTATGTGATTCAGGTTTCTTATTTTGTAAGCAAGGATATAGATGTGGATGTGGGAGCGGCGGTGTAAATGGAGAGTAGATGAACACCCACACCCTTTCTCGAACCTGATTGGCCGATAGCTAACAGGTATCAACCAGTGAAGAAACGCTCACGCAAATATGAGCATTCATGAGCGCGAGCTGTACATCCCTAGCAATATCTTAATATTTTCGAACATGAAATATGTTATAAAGAAGATTTTGGCACGAAGAAAAATACTTTTTTTATATTTGTCTAATTAATAGTGTGTTTTGTATGGTAATAAAACTTGATGCGATTTCTAAGGCTTCTCGAACACTCATGCATTGTTGAAAGCTGATGAAGTCTTCTGCAGTCTCTTGAAGTCACCTAAAGTCCTATGAAGCCTCGTGAAGTTTTTTTTAATTGTATTGAAGTCGTGTGAAAAATTGAAGTCTCTTGAAGTCTGCTGTTTCTCCCTCGGATGTAGCTGTGTACACTCCGGCATAAAATAGTTCACACTCTATAAGACTCCACTTTTTACGCTTGAAGAAGATGTGATGACCTGTCGGAGTTCAACTACAAAAGAAAAGGATACTCACATCAGAAAAGACATTTGAGGTCACAGAAATCTATACAAGCTTTCACAACATAGAACACAATTATGTTTAGTAGGGAGATACTCATTTTCATTATGAATCACTAAATTCAATTCACGAATATTCATTTTCCAGAGACACTCATTATCAAGAAGTATCCATAATGAATGATTTAACATTATTCAATTACATAAATCTACTTTTCATACGGAGATATTAGACTATTCATAAAGAATTGTATTCTAAATGAATTTTTTCTAACTAGACTGCTTCTTTGCTTTTATTTCCTATGAATCGAGAGTACCTTAATTACACGTTCTGTATAATGAAGATTCTACCCTCATATAGTATTGAATTTGAATGCCTGTGCGTGTAGTGCAGAAAAAAAACAACATTATTCAATATATAAATTGCATTCCTACCTTCTTGTAGCTATTAGTAGCGAGAAATGAAAAGAAAATAACATGCACATACATCTTTTATAAAGAGTAAAAAAAGCAATGTTTTGCAATGCTTCTAAGAGAAGAAAGATGGTAAGAAAAAGAAAAAAAAAGAGTATATGACTGTGCAAAAGAGGCACCCAACTGAGCCTTTCGATTAACTGACGATACATCTTACAGCACTCTTGAAATGCTTTGCTTCACTGAGCCTCAGTTAACGATTAATAAAAGAAGCAATGTTCTGTTCAATGATGAGAGTTGATCTAAAGAGAATATCGATAGATTTTCCAGCAAACGCGATTAATTTCAGAATGAAAATAACCGCTATAGAGACTTAAAGTCAAACTTTATATTATGAATTTTCAACTACCAACGCAAGTATTATCGAGATAGAAGCATATACAACTGCTGGGAGCTAATTGGCAACACTACGCAAACACCCTAACACAGGAGAGAAAAGCAAGGTATGTGAAGAAACAGTAAAAAAAAGCTTGTTAGCGCACCTCTTTTGGAGTTGAAATGTTGAACTCACATATATCTTTAAACCTTTATATCCTAATACATCATATGTAAACTGAAAAATTTCTTGTACACTGTAGTTGTTTGCATAGATAATGGATGACAAGAGCGAGACTTTATTTATGTCTACATTTAAAAGAGAGAATTTTTTGTTTCAGAGCGCCCGATTTCATTTATAATTGTTGCTACGCACTCGATATTAGTCATTTTTTTGTTTTGTGTTTTTATTTGTCGTTATTATTTTTCTTCATCATCGACTATCTCGTAAATCAGACTGAGGGTATGGGTGTACGTGTGAATACTGTTTTAAGCCACACCCACACCCTATTCTCATCTTAATAGTTCATTTTCCATCTCAAACTTTTGTAACAATACTTTTTAGTCTATCTATGTTACTTGTTTTTTTTTGTTCTTTGTTTCAAAGGTTTAATTTTCATATGAAGTAGCCTTACATAGATTCAAGATGAACCTAGCATTCAGCAATCTTATTACAGTTCCTTCTGATTCGATAAATTATATGAAGGAAATTAGTTGTTTTTCGAATACCACAAACTCATGACATGTTGAAAATGCATTACTTAATCAAATGAGTTGCAATAGTTTAACAGATGAATTCTAGTTGACTTAAATTATTCGTTAATCAAATTCTGAATTTTTATAAATGAAACATCTGCATTTTGGTATGCGGCTAAATTTTTTTTTGGTATCCTGTGATCATGCGTTTATCCAAACTATAAATCATGTAACTTACATATTTGAATGTATAAGTATGCTAGTGAAACAGATGCAGTAATTTCTTTTATATTTTCATGACATTGTGAAAGTGAAAGATTTGTTAAAACTAATTTTTATAATCAAATACAAAACAAACGCGCTAGTTTTAATTTTGATTCACGATTGTTAATTTGCAAAAATTCAGAATATTTTGACAAATTTAACTGTTTGAAGAAAACGACACATACAATAATGTAGGCTGACGAGTTTCGCGATTCTATTGAAATGTTAAAATTATGTTTAATGCTTTTAATCTATTAAAATCAGTATATGAATAACTGACTAAAATTTTTTTCCTTATTCCAGTACTATTAAAAAAAGTACAATTTGATTAATTTTCATTTTATTATTACAAGTTAAGTGAATAATCAAAAACTATTAATCTGTCAGAAATATCTATTATAATCGAATCTTTATGATTCATTTTGAGCAGAGGGTGGGTAGTTGAAAAAATTTGAATAACTGTTTGAATTGAATGTATTTTATGGTTTTTTAAACGAAATATCAATTTATCTATCTTGATTAGGAACAAAAATAATCGAATAAAAGATTACTTAAAATATTATAAGGTTTGTCCAATACAATAATAAAAAGCAAAAAGCTCTTTTAACGAAAGAACAGTGGTTCAGTTGGAGATCGCATCCAAAACCCAGTGAGGCAGACTAAGTGGTGCTCATTGAAATGAAGCAATGATTTCACTATTTTATTTTGAAGAAGAAGTTTAAATTCAGAGGAATCCTTGCTACTTTCCATTGTTAAGTAAGTGATGATAAAAGTTTTCTCGAAGTGATACATAAGAAAAATAAAGGATGTAGAAAGAATAAAGCTTCGCAACTGAATCCACTACCCATAATTTCTAACTATGCTATTATCTTGAGAACGCTGAAATGCACAACAATCTTATCGAATCAATGACATAAAAATTTTGAAAATTTCGACGAAAATTTAAAAAGGAAGCAAAAACTATTTCAACATTTATTGATAAAATCATTGAATGAGCTTATTTCGATACGATCACCGAAGAAAGAAAACTGACTCAGTACCCAAGTTTTCTTCCATTGGAACATTAAAGGATGCTGTTCACAGCAAAGTCAGGAGCTCAGACTGTTACTAGCAAGATGTACCGAACATATCCTTTTCCACTTCCAACATTATATAGTTTAACTAAAGATAAGGCAAACCTTTTTTATTTGATAGACAAAAAGGAGGTAAGATAGCTCTAAGATTTGCACCTGAAATTGACGTTCGATATATTGAAAAAATCAAAAGTTTTCGTTTGCAGATGAAACGTTCTGCACTTCTCCATGAGTTTTCAATCAAATTTATAGCAACCTCACTTTTAATGAAAGTCTTTCGACTCTCTCTGTATTTGTACTTGCTGATAAAAAGATGAAACATGCCATAATTTCACTTCAGTATCGATGAATAAAATTATAGAAATGTGCGATTTCATACGATTTCGATCGATTACTATTGTTTTTTCTAAGTAGGTATTAAAAAGATGTTCTGTCAATCTTTTCCGTGTTGAAGCAAGAAAGAAAGAAAAATGTCTATTTTATGCAACTCTTAAAAAACAGAAATTTCCGTAAAGAACTTTTATCATGAGAAATGCCTTCTTCTTGAGATGAGTCAATACAAAAATAGCAAACAATTGAAAGATTAAATTTTCCACACATTTATCCATCGGGAATCTTGTCTGAATTTAATCAGTAAAAATCATAAATAGAAACTTATCAAATTGTTCATAATAAATGATAAGATAACAGCTACTTTGTATAACATTATTGAAAATATCTTACGATAAAAACACAAAATTTGGCGTTTCAATGATCTATGTCATCATTATCAAGATTTATTAAGATCTTAGGAAAATTGTACACTGAGCAAAGAAAAGGAAGACGCCAGAAGGAAAGAGAAACGAAAATACAATAATAAACGACTTTAAGTTTCATTAATGAGCAAGACTAGGTCACAGAACCCTTGGTAGACCAACAGGAAAAACAAACAATGGTACTGAATGTGTTATTTTGCTGAATTCTGGTTCATAAGCCTTGACCAATAATGACTCTTTAATTAACAAACGATAATGATGATTGTCTTGCCATATTACCTGAAAATTACTTCAGTCCATATGATGGCCTGTTTCTTGTTCATGTTGAGTAATTGATGGGTGTGGGTGTGAGTATGGGAGGAAAAAAAGCTACTACCTAAAACCGGATCCTCTCTCACATCCATCCGATTGTCCAATAAGATTCATCAAGAGAAAAAAATATTCTGTTGATTATTGTGCTGTAGAAGTCGACAGCTTTTTTCCTTCTCTGATAAGTTATGTACTCATTTACATTTTCTGAAGCAGTTCCTATTTCAATGTCTTCTGTAAGATATCGCTGTCGATGTTGTTCTCCTTGTCAGCCGCACACACGTTTAAGCAACACAACGTTGTTTTTTTTGCAGAATGAGAACGATGAGTCATACTCACTATGAAAGCCTATTGTTAAATTTTCTTTTCAATTCTTTCTTGCACAATCAGCATGTAAGTCTTGCTTATTCAATTACTTGGTTACTTTCATATGTGTGATCTTGCTTTTAACCTTAACTTTTTATTATTGTAGGCGCTATCTTCACAATGACAGTTAATTATTTAAATGAAATTATTTCGATATTTCTTCAACGCAATATAAAAGAAATTGGCGACAATGAATTAAGTATTGCTATGAGAAATGATGGAAAGCCATGTTCAATTGAAGAAATACGTCGTATTATACAATCATTCGGTTCATCTCTGTTTCGATGTAGATATAGTCAAGAGGATGTACTTCTTGTTCAAATTGAACCCTTAGTAAGCTCATTTTAGTTTGCTGCTTTTGTTTTGATTTCTCGTATATTTTAGATAAAAATATGTAAAAATTTTCTTAGTGGAAAATGTAATTTCAAAACAACAGAATGCAATCAACTTCATTTATGTCATCGTTTTGATCATAATAACCCAAATGGGTATCATGTTTCTCGTGATTTTACTTGTGAACATAATCGCCGTATCATTGAGCAATCAAACTGTCAAAATATAAATCCAATATTACTCGTTCAGTTTATCCAACTTAATGAAAAATTTTCTCATGATTTATCTCAGGTAATAATTTTATTGTATGCTGTCGAAAATGAACTTGTCGATATAGGTTTCAATTACATCACCTGTTGTTTCAAAAACTCGAGATATAAAATCATCATCAGTACAGTCAAAACCTATTCAACAAGCTTGTTCGCCAAGAAAACGTATTCATTCAGAAGAAGAATCTAAATATGATTATGCTAAAAATGCTTGTAGTAGAGATAATGTTACTCCAGCGATGTGTGTATCGACAGGATTCGATACAAACTATTCACTCGATATTAGTTTTCTATCGAGATCTCTTAGTCGTCATATTAAACTTCAGAAAATCGAAGAATTCTTAAAACAACAAGGTCTAAATATACACAGGATGTTTGAGTCAAAGGTCAATGGATATTTTAATCAATATACAATTCAATATCATGAAAACAATAGTAAGTTATTTGTTCATGTGCTTATCAAAGATGTCGTTTTTCAGCTTTAGATAATCTTCTGACAAAACCTAATATTACATATCAGGGTATTCATATGAAATTTAAAAGAACTAATCCATTAATTGATCAACAAAGTTTTGCACTTAAATTACCCATTGATTTTAAACGTAACCCATTGATAAGAGAAGAAGTCAAACATTATATTAATACTTTAACTAATTCATATTCATACAAAATAACCGAGGTTTTAACACAAGGAGAACAGATTCTATTGATTCAATGCAATAATACAATTGGTAGGATTCTTTTTTTAAAGTACTTTTACATTCGATCATAGTAATAACACACATTTTTTAGATTTTGATATGGTTCGTCGACTGCATAAGTCAAGATCACAATTACAAGGAACAAATATCTCATTGAAACAAGTATATGAACTGGAAAATGTTATTATTACGTCTGTTCAGAATTCATTACTGTCGATTGAAATTATTGAACGTATACTTCAACCTGTATTTGACAATATCTTTAATTTTACTATTCAATCTAACCAAACAGCACGTGTAGAATTCGTTCGTGCTGATCATTTAAAAGAGTGGCTCTTTGATTGCCATACAGTACAACGACAATTTGGTGTTAAGATTCAACTTGATGTTAGATGTGTCGACCATGATGATGATGACGATGACGCTATTTCTGGTACCTCAAATGATCAGATATCAACACATTTCAATAAAGAACATCAAACTTCACAAGTAACAGTCTATATTCGTCGAATTTGGGCTATGATTGTTAATCATCCAATTTTCGGTATTGAGTACAAGAATTATATACGTAAGTCGATTCATAGCCATATTCATACCCAAATAAATACAAACATGCTCGCTCTCATGAAAACAATATCTGAAATCGATTAGATAACGCTGTCATATTTGAGATCGGCATGTTAGCAGACAAGTTCTAAGAAATTTTACGATCAGAATACCCGAATCAATGACTATTTCTAAGCAATAGGATCTTGTTATTTTTCAAAATTGTCCATGGTAGGATCGATCGTCCAGCATTCACTGCGGTTCTTACATTTATCAGTGTGCGAAATTCTCGAATAGTATGCCACTTTTATTTGTATTTTTCTGAATAACACCGATGAAATCTACTTACTTTTCGTTGTTAAGTTCAATGATTTTGATTGAAGTTTACCTAACTATTAATACGAGATATAAATCCAAACGTGCAAATCTAGCAAACTAAAATGCAAATTTTCTACTTAAAAAGTAAGAATGAAATTAAACAGTAGTTAGCTGAGCCTTATCCAGTGCTACATGCTTATAAGAATCTAAACCAACTGTTTAAAATAGTTTCGATATCAGCATGGCACAGAGAGAGAGACTCAGACATCTGCCCTTATCATCCCTCAATCAACCATTGAAACTTTCTAACGAGATTTTTGACAATGTGTTATTTCCTGATATTTAATGTACTTGTTTTTATAATGAAATTTATGCATGTACGCATCTAATGTTTTCTTTTTTGCAAATCACATCTATTTTCTTTTCTTCAAAATCGTATGCCTAGCACAAAACAAGATATATGCCTTAAAAACCTGTCATTCCAAAGACTAATAAATTGTTTTGTATCCGAGAAAAATACTCTTTTCAAAAATTTCGATTACCAACTCAAAATTCTATGTAAATAGGTGAGTTCTCTCGATTCTAAAGATCTTGTTGAAATTTTAATAAAATTTTCACGCAAAGTTCCTTGTAAGCTTAAAGTAACATATTTCACACACTGTTAATATTTTCTAATTGCTAGTAGAATTCTTATAGAAAAATTTTGGAATAATTTCAATCTTATTTTTTTACGATTTGTTTAAAAACTATGCTGAAGACTAGTTCATATAAATTTCAACACGACGTGCTCTCGAGTCACATCTCCATTATTGTGACTTATTCAGCATTAACTATCCATTTCTGATCGTAGGAACTGAACTTGGCGTTGAGATTGATATTCATGATAATCGAATTCAAGCATATTTTTATTCCAATTTGGATCAAGCAGTTCGAGAAAATCCTACTGTTCTTCTGACCGATACAACTTATACATTTATGGAAAATTTCGATATTCGTTCAATAGTCTTGCAAAAAATAACAGAACAACTCAAAATTCTTCATGCACATTCAAATGCTGTTGCATTCTATCAAGCCAAAGATAACTTTTATATGTTGACTGCGAAAAAATCCTATATGGAGGTTATCATGCACGAATTGTCTTCGATAGTATCCATTGATGACACACTAAAAAGTATTCTTTCGTCAGTAGCATTTACTGATCACGAAACGATTAAAACTATTGATGGACAGTGAGTTCTAATAGAAAATTTTTTTCTATTATCTATTTCATTTTTAGACAAGTATCAACATGTGTAATTCCATCATCATTATATAATTCAACAACTACTGACGATCAGTATGTCATTTTATCATTCTATGTAACATCTATCTTTGTTTTCCTGTAGATATATCGTAACAGATGACATAATCAGTAAGAGTGTGACATTATCATTCAAGACTCCAACACATACAGCTTTATTCACGAGAACAACGTTTCAATCCAATCTTCAAATCTATTTTCATACAAAATATTCTGTTAAACTTTATTTCGAACCTACTGTTAACATAAATAGTTCCACATTGATCAAAATAATCGGACGACAAAGCACTATTGATTTAGCAATACAAGAGTTGGAAACTCTAGTTTCATTATGTCGCACAAAAACATTCAATGAAACGACCGGTCTGATATTTTTCGTTTGCTTCTATAAAATAGAATTTTATCATTTTAGATCATGATTGGACAAAGATTAACGATGCAATTCATGTTATTCAATATCATTTAGATACAATGAATATCAAATGTGTCTGTCAGCAACAGATAGCTCCTGCCTCGATAATGGTACACTATATTGACAAAACGCACATAGAGTTTGGTGTCGATGAACAAATTATTGAAAAACTATGTCGTGAGACGTTGATTTCAGTTATATGTACATCAACGATAGTTGAAAAAGAATGGGCAGCTCTTAAATCTCGTATTTTGCAACGTGATAATTATGGTAAAGATATTAGTCTTTTGGATGAACAACAAACTATTAGTCTGTTTGGTTTACCTGAAATTGTAAAACAAGTTCAACAATTATTCGAAGATAAGAAAGCAACAACAAATTCATCTATGCGAAAAAATCAACTGAGAAAAGCAAGAACAGAACCTATTAGAAAGTTACAAGGTGAAAAATCTGAACATTGGTCACCATCGAATAATGATACATTAAATCAAGAATCAAATCAATCGAAACAAAAAACAATTGAAACATACTCAATAACATTCGATATCGATGAACCTGGTTTCGAAGTTCTCGTCAACAAAAGTTTTAATCGACTATTAGCTATCATTGAGTCAAAATGTCAGCTTGAAAAAGAAATTATTCATCATCCAATTCAAATTGAAATACCTAAATCAAAAGTAAATCATTCTGACGATAGTACATCGCACAACAAATCACAGGAAGATAATCCTAAATCTATGGATGATGCTAGTAAGGCTTTTGTCAACTTGAATCCTAATATGTTTCAAATATCATTTTAAGGTAGTACATCAATGATCCAACCTTCATTATCTGCAGTACAAACAACCATTTTGGAGTTCCCAATAGCAACCC